ACTTTTCAGAACTATTGTGATGGACCTTAAGAGAGTGACTTGATTTAAATTGTGGGAGAGGTATTGGGGAAGGTATCTCTGAGGAACAGATTTTGTAAGCCAGGCTAACCAAGTCAAGGGAACAGTAGCATGGGTGAAAAGTTTGAAGTAGGTAAAGTTGTTGGTGTTATCAAGGAAATACAAGAAGACCAGTACACACAAAGTATTATGAACAAGGCGGGCAAGAGTAATAGCAAATTTGCCAGTGCATTTGAGAGTGTAGAACCCGTTTTAAGGATTCTAGATTTTACCCTGTGACCATGAAATGCCGTGAAAGGCTTTAAGCAAGGGAAGTGATATGATCTATGTTTCCAGAAAATCACTGACTGTTTAAGGAATTGTAAAAATGGTACATTTTAGTTCTTTTCCATATTGGTAGTTGCAGTATTCTTTCCTGAGTATAATTAAAACTCTAAAAATTTTACTCAGAATTCAGGATGTACTTAGCTAGTAGTAACTTGATTTGGATACATATTTTTCAGAAATCCTTACAGGACAGAAAAAAGCAAAAAGAATGCTTTTTGGGGCCACATGACATTCTTTGGTTAAAATATCTTCACTTCTTGTGAAACCTTTGTAAAATTACTTATGTTCCATTATTTGGACTAAGTGGCTGAATAAACAGTCATGAGGATACACACTCAGGCAGCTTGTACATTGGGTGCACAGACTACATTCATCATTGTAACTCCACAAATGTGAATTCTCTGGAGCTATTATATATGAAGTACATTTATTTCTAAGAGAATGCCCACTGATCTTGCTCCTCCCCCATTTTTTCCATATTAAAGGTTTCTTTTACCTGTGTATCAACAATGATGATGTGCTAATATTGAAAAGTTACTCCTTTAAAGACAAAGCACCCTTGCAGTCAAATAAAGGGAGAGAAAGTGGCATTGCTTCTAATGCCTATATTATTTATTTCTCTTCAAAATATTCCTGTGGCCTTGGTGTTTATAGATCTAGCATTCTAACAAAGAAAATGCATGAACTTTAATGTACACTATTCATTTTCTTTTAGTAGTATTTAGCTAACAAAGAGACCCATTTTGAGATTACTACTGGTTTAAATGCCCCATTTTACTTTCCTTTCATGACATTTAACTTTTTTTTGGTTTTGTTTTTAGATATATTGCTTTTAAGGGTATTATATTGATGGAACCTAAATCTTTTTTTTTTTCTCATTATTTCTTTTAATCAAATATGGAACTTCACTTGGCTATTGGCGACTTTTCTACCAAACCAGAAAGAATCTGTAGGGTACTCAGTTGGTTAATTCAGGTTGGTGGGATTCTTTTCCCTTCATCTAAGTTGGGGCACACAGAAAGGCAAGCAAGGAAAGTAGGTATCAGAGGAGTTAATTAGGCTTCCAGCAGACCTCTGGTGCTTATTTCTGGAGCAGTGTATGTTTTGGCTATTGTTAGAACCTTATTATACTTAGGAAATTTATGTATGCCTTGAATTTAGATTGATATTTTAAAAATCACTTCATACTTTGACTGTGTGTTTTAGATTTTGCAGGAGTGCTCTGATGTTAAATATTCTTTCTCTCTATTTTTTCATATATTCCTCAGTCAGAAAAATGCCCTTTCCCGTATTTGATTCTTGTTTCGTATACTACCTGGCTCTAGTCAGGTTACTTAAACATTTCTGAATTACCATTATAAATTGCCCACATTAGACTTTAATTTTAAAAAAGTGTCATATTATTTATGTGCTATTAAGATAGGTGACCAGAGTGCTGTCGTTTAGTTTTCTTCATTTAGAAATCTATAGATTTGACTTTTTTTTGTGAAGTGGTTTTTGAATTGATGATAGAGATAATGACAAGAAATGAGGATTAGCAGTGCTAATAACATACTGAAGGAAGAGGGGTAGAAAAAAAGATTCTGTTGTCTGTAAGGAACTTAACGAGCAAAAAGCAACCCAATTGAAACGTGGGCAAAGGACATGAAAAGGCACTTTTCAAAAGAAGACGCATACGTGGCCAACAAACATATGAAAAAATTCTCATAATCACTGATCACTAGAGCGATGCAAATCAAAACCACAATGAGATACCATCTGATAATAGTCAGAATGGCTATTATTGAAAAGTCAAAAATTAACAGATGCTGGCAAGGCTGTGGTGAAAAAGAAAGTTTATACATTTTTGGTAGGAGTATCAATTGGTTCAACCATTGTGGAAAACAGCGTGGTGATTTCTCAAAGAACTTAAAACAGAAGTAACTCTGGACCTAGTAGTCCATTTATTGGGTATGTACCCCCAAAAATATAAATTGTTCTGCCATAAAGACACATGCACATATATGTTCATTGCAGCACTGTTCACAATAGTAAAGATGTGGAATCAACATAAATGCCCATCAGTGTTAAACTAAAGGTGGTACACACACACACACACACACACACACACACACACACACACACAATGTAATATTACACAGCTGTATAAAAGATTGAGATCGTATCCTTTCCAGCAACATGGAGCTAGAGGCCATTATCCTAAGCAAACTCCCACAGGAACAGAAAACCAAATACTCCATGTTCTCACAAGTAGGAGCTAAATATTGAGTACATATGGACATAAGGGAACAACTGACACTGAGACCTGCTTGAGGGTAAAGGGTGGGAGGAGGGTGAGGATAAAAAAACTATGGGCCAGGAGTGGTGGTTCATGCCTGTAATCCCAGCACTTCGGGAGGCCAAGGTGAGCAGATCATAAGGTCAGGAGTTTGAGAACATTCTGGCCAACATAGTGAAATCCCGTCTATACTAAAAAATACAAAAAGTTAGCTGGGCGTAGTGGTGGGTGCCTGTAATCCCAGCTACTCAGGAGGCTGAGGCAGGAGGTTGCAGTGAGCAGAAATGACACCATTGCGCTCCAGCCGGGGTGACAGTGCAAGACTTTGTCTCAAATAATCTGTACACCAAACCCTGGTGACACATAATTTACCTATATTACAAACCTGTACAGGTACCTTTGAACCTAAAGTAAAAGTTAAAAGAAAGAAAAAGGATTGTTTCTGACCAGAAATGGCCTGTGGATGGTCTTATGTTTGCTGTGTGTGCTATCTTAAGGAGGTTTTGAGACTCTAAACTGAGAACTACTTACCCAGAACTTTTTCCTTTTTTTCATAGCAGAACAACTTAATATCCACAGCTTTATCTCCTCTCTCCCTGCCTGCAATATATGAAGTAACATATAACAAACAATTGGTTAATTTTCTTAGCTGTGATAGAATTTTATGTGAATAAATACATTGCTTACACACACATTCCCTGGCCTGCAAATTTTTGATAGAAAAGAACTAGCTTATCTCTCAGCGTTTTTTCTTTAATTGAGCAATTAATAATACTTTTCTAGTTACACAACATATCATATACTTTCTTTTCATAGTTTTGGCTTTATGAGTCTGTAAGTTTTATATGAGATGTGGGAAGGTTGGTTCATATGAATATTGGAGAACAGAGAACATTGATAGTTTTGGAATTCAGATTGTAGGGTGGGTTTGGATATTTGACATAGAATGAGAGGAAATATTACTCTTGATGTCACGATAAAGAGATTATAAAGATTTAAGATACACTTTAGCTCAGTTCTTTTCTTTAGACTACAGTGCAAATAACACATCATCTAGTTTCTTCATTTTTGAGAATGACTTCTACTTGAATGGGAATAGAGAAAGCTTATTGTATAGGATTCTTTTCAACAAGATTCCTTTTCCCCCTACTGTGGAAGAAATGTGGAAATAGCTTTATTAGAATGCTTCTTTATGATGGATATTTTGTATAGATATTTAGAATTTTATGCTGTTATGTATTTTTATTAAAATCATGGTGGATCTTTTTTTTTTTTGACGGAGTCTTGGTCTGTCACCCATGCTAGAGTGCAGTGGTGTGATCTTGGCTCACTGCAACCTCTGCCTGCTGGGTTCAAGTGCTTCTCCTGCCTTAGCCGCCTGAGTAGCTGGGATTACAGGCATGTGCCACTGTGCCCAGCTAATTTTTGTATTTTTAGTAGAGACAGGGTTTCACCATCTTGGCCAGGCTGGTCTTGAACTCCAGTTGTGATCCACCTGCCTCAACTTCCCAAAGTATTGGGATTATAGGTGTGACTACCACGCCCAACCCATGGTGGATCTTAGAAGGTAATTTCAGAATGTGTTAGAATTTTGAGATTTTAATAGCTTAAATACATAAAATCCAGTTAATAAAATACAGCTTCTGAAAACCTGTTAACACCTATTGTATCCTTTTCAGTGTGAATGCAGAGATTTTTTAATGCATATTTTATGCATAGTGGATTGGTTTACTGTATTGATAGCTGGTATTTCCAAGTATTGAATATGATTCTCTTAAAGGCCATCTGATAAAGACAGAAATAAGGAACTGAACTTAATTAATGGAGGAGCAAATCATTATTAGGTATATTAGTTTGCTAGGGCTGTCATAACAAAACACCACAGATTGGGTGGTTTAAACAACAATTTTTTTTTTTAACAGTTTTAAAAGCTTGAAGTTCAATATCAGGTTTCTGTCAGGGTTGGCTTCTCCTGAGGCCTTTCTCCTCTGCCTGTTGTAGGTGGCTGCCCTCTTGTTGCCCTTTCCCACATGATCATATCTCTTTGTATCTCTCTGCGGGCATACCCCTGGTGTCTCTTTTTCCTGTAAGGAGACCACAGACTTATTGGATTAGGTCCCCACCCTAATGTCCTCATTTGAACTTAATCGCCCCTTTGAACACCTTATCTCTAAATAGCAATATGGTCTGTGCTCCTGGGGATTGGTACTTCACCATGTGAATTTTGCAGGGGAACACAGTTCAGCCATTAACAGTTGGTAATTAAATCAATCAAGAAGGAAACAAGTAATTTGTAAGAATTACTTTTTCCTCCTTTATTTAATAAGGTTTTTGTAGAAGTGCAATTGTTCTGTGTTTTTTGTTGTGTATCTCCTAGCCGGAGAATTTTCATCCTTGGGCCTTCTCATCATGTGCCCCTCTCTCGATGTGCACTTTCCAGTGTGGATATATATAGGACACCCCTGTATGACCTTCGTATTGACCAAAAGAGTAAGTATATAGAAGTATTATAGCTTTCAAATAGCTAATGTTCTTTTAATAGGACTTGTAAATTAATTTAAAAACTTACAAATATGAACATTATAAGTAATATCTCAATATTTAAAATAAAATTTGTTATAACTAATCTGCAAAAAAAAAAAAAAAAAAAAAAAAAAAAAAAAGGAAACTCTTCTATATCCCTAAAAGGCAACTAGTGTTTTTCAGTTAGCTACAGAAATCTGTCAGATCTGCTGGTCTTCAGATTGCAGTGGTTACATTAATATTCAGGAAAATGCCATGTACTCAGTGTACCAGGAGGCAAGAAATTAGTACCCATACCAGTTTCATGAAAGATTTTGGGCATGTTAATCTACTTCTATGTAGTGTCACTTTTCTTACTGTAAATAGGTAATGCTGATAATATATTTTCTTTCAAACGATTTTTGTGGGAAAAAATGAGCCTGTAACTATGAAACTCTGAAAGAAGGGTGCTATATAAATGATAAATATATTTTATTTTTAAACATGCCTACAATTTTGATTGACTTATTTTTTCCATAGGATTCCAGTCACATTTTTATTTAGTTGTTCTTACACAATAGATGTATAAAATAAAAACCTTTTGACTTTATAAAGGTATTTTTGGGAGGGGGGTAATTTTAAAAATACAGAACAGTATATAGAATAGTATAAGAAATAACTGATGTACTTAACATCCACAATTTATTCAGTTTCTCGCTCATCCTGAACTCAGTTTACCTTCCCAGAAGTAACCAGCTTCATGAACTGGGTATGTGTCCTTTCAGTTCATCAAATTATTCACACACACACACACACACACACACACACACACACCCCATATATATATACTTTTTTGTTTTTAAAGAGTCTCATTCTGTGGCCCAGGCTGGAGTGCAGTGGCATGATTATAGTTCACTGCAGCCTCAAACTCCTGGGCTCAAGTGATCCTCCTACCTCAACCTCCCAAGTAGCTAGGACCCCAGGCACACATCACCACACCCAACTAATTAAAAAAAATTTTTTTTGTGGAATTAGGGCCTTGCTATGTTGTCCAGGCTGATCTTGAACTCCCAGTTTCAAGCAATTCTGTCTTGGCCTCCCAGAGTGCTGGGATTATAGGTGTGAGCCACTGTACTTGGCCTCAAATTATATTTTTAAGTGTGTTAGCGGTGATATTGTTTCAAATAATTTTGTAAAAATGTCTTGTGTAGAAGAAAAGAGTTGAGGCCTGGTGTGGTGATTCATGGCTGAAATCCCAGCACTTTGGGAGGCTGAGACGGGCAGATTCCTTGGGCTCAGGAATTTGAGACCAATTTGAGCAACATGGCAAACCCTGTCTCTACAAAAAAGTACAAAAATCCGATGGGTATGGTGGCACGTGGCTATAGTCTCAGCCACCTGGTGGGAAGGGAAGGGGCGGAGGGTGGGGTGGTGAGGTGGGAAGATGGCTTGAGCCAGGGAAGTAGAGGTTGCAGTGAGCTGAAATCATGCTGATGTACTCCAGCCTGGCCTGGGTGACAGAGTGAAGCCCTGTCTCCAAAAGTAAGTAAGTAAGTAAGTAAGTAAATAAATAAATAAATAAATAAATAAATAAAATAAGAGTGAAACCCTGTCTCCCAAAATAAATAAATAAAATAATAAAGGAGACTATTTGCAAGAAAAAAATTCTTTTTTCTTGTTTTTGATGTAAATTTTTATGATTTGGGGTTTTAGGTATCACAGAATATTAGCAATTTGTTAAGAAGGCATCTTATTAATGAAACTGGAGTATTTCTAACCTTACTTCCTGAGATGGTTTTAGGGAACACATTTTACTATTAAAACCTTGTTGGGCATTCACAAAATTTTAATTTTGGGTAGCTTACCAGTGAAGAAATGAGAATTTTTTAAAGAAAAGAGGTCATGGCAACCATTTCTTTCTTTCTTTGGTATAGGTAAACCCATTTAAGGATCTGGTTATAAAGTTGTTGGTTCTGTTTTGTGCTAAAAATATTCTTATATATATATTTTACACATTAACTTTTATGTTTTTCTTGTTCTACAATATTCAATTTTAAGTATAGTTCATCAGAAGGGCCTGAATTACTAGGTCTTTTTAAGTTGGGATGGTATTTTGGCAAATTTATATTTTGATCTATCCTACAAGCTTAATTTTGAATCTTCAGGAAAATAGCATTAGTGAGAATTTTCTCTTGGTATGGCAGAAACCTGAGGTGTGAAGTAATACCACACATTTTATTAAAAAAACTCAGAAGCTATACTATTTAACTCATGAGTTAAATAGACCAGTGGTTTTTCCACTTTTCAGTAGGAATTCTTTTTTTTTTTTTTTTTTTTTTTTTTTTTGAGACGGAGTTTCGCTCTTGTTACCCAGGCTGGAGTGCAATGGCGCGATCTCGGCTCACTGCAACCTCCGCCTCCTGGGTTCAGGCAATTCTCCTGCCTCAGCCTCCTGAGTAGCTGGGATTACAGGCACGCGCCACCATGCCCAGCTAATTTTTTGTAATTTTAGTAGAGACGGGGTTTCACCATGTTGACCAGGATGGTCTCAATCTCTTGACCTCGTGATCCACCCGCCTCGGCCTCCCAAAGTGCTGGGATTACAGGCTTGAGCCACCGCGCCCGGCCTTCAGTAGGATTCTAATTATATTCTTGCTAGCATGTACTGATTAAAGTCAAGGAAAAGCCTAGACCCAAAGGTGATTTGAGAAATAACGAAGGGAACTGATGAAGAATTGAAGTGATCATTTTTCTTCGAAGTGATCATTTTTTATATAACTATGTAGCATATGCAAATAATGAATGTCTTTACATGTATTACTGTTTTACCTGTTACATAAAAACTAGTTCTGTTTTTTTTCCCCACTCTCTTTCTCCTTCTTACTCACCCTCCCTCCTTCCTTTCCATTGTTTTGTTTTGTTTTAATAAAAATGAGAATATTATCTGGTGTTTCTGTCTCTTGCCAAAGCATGTAGTTTTGTGTTACTGGGTGGAATCTCAAAGGATAAGGATATACATTAATATATTTGTTTTACTGTATTTTGAAATCTCTTTAGTTTACGGAGAACTATGGAAGACAGGAATGTTTGAACGCATGTCTCTGCAGACAGATGAAGATGAACACAGTATTGAAATGCATTTGCCTTATACAGCTAAAGCCATGGAAAGGTATAGTGATTGATATAAGAAATCCCCAGGAAATCATAGACATTAATTTCTTTGGTATTTTAAAACTAGTAAATCCTAATAATTATCAGGATAAGGAGATTAAGAAATGAGATAAAAAATTGAGACAAGAGTGTCTTAATGTGGATTGTTGGTTTTGAGTAGTTTGCCTATGAAGGCTGAATGTATGAATTGACATGATTGTTTTATTAGGTGGAAGTATTAAAAAAAACTCATGGATATGTGAGTGTATGTGGTTATGTATATATCTTGCTTTGCTTGTATTTTATTCATTCAACATTTATCTCAGAATAATAATTACATTCTTTTATGCTACCATGCTATAATTAATCATAAAATTTTAGACTTGTATTTTTCAACCTTTTGCAAGATACGTGAATCTTTTTACGATATGCATGGCAGATTATTATGTAGTACCTGCTAAAGGTCTTCCTGTGCTGGGTTACTCACTGTACCGTGAGCAGAACAAAGACAAGGATGATACCTATTTTGTTCTCTACCGTATACCCCACTGCCTAGCACAATGTCCAGCACATAGTGGTTATTAACGTATTTTGATAAAATGAAAAAATTATTTCAAGGGTTTTCTTCTTTTAGTAAAACATTTGGATTAGGAAGTCTTCTCTTTTGTAGGTTTCTCTAATTTTTAAAACCATTTCCTATATATGGACTTAATATTTCATATTTAGTTGGGCAGTTCTAAGTACAGTAATATAATTCCTTCTCTGGATTTTTTCATTGTATTTTCTTAGTAAAGTACATGATGATGCTCTGTAGGCTCTCAGTAAATATTAAATGTACTAATAAAGTCTAAGGTAACATTATATTTTTATGTTGATGTAGCTTACTATTGGCTAATGTACTTGTGCTCAGCTAAAACCTAAGGCTTTTTCATAATATTCAATGATGCTGTTTATTTTTTCTTCTTTAGCTCATTATTGCAGTCTTTTTGGATTATTTCCACTCTTATTCTGTATTCAAAGTATTTACTTTTCTCAATATTTTATCTGCTTCTACTCACAATGATAACCATGAGGAATTATATAAATCTAAGGAAGTTTCAAAAAAATCAGTGTGATACTACATTATAAGCAGTATAATTTTAGGGTTTTTAATACATTCTACTTCTTCAGAAATGTGAAACCTTATATATTATTTCTTGAATTATTGATGTGATCAGAGCTTTCTATTCTTCAACCAGAAAAGATAATCAAATATTTTTATTTGCTGAAATGTTTGCATATTTTGTCAAGAGAAAATATAATTTAGACTTATTAAATACTAATACTCTGGGTGCAGTGGCGCTTGCCTATAATTCCAGCACTTTGGGAGGCTGAGCTGGGTGGATGGCTTGAGCCCAGGAGTTCAAGACCAGCTTGGGCAATGTGGCAAAACTCCATCCCTACTAAAAATACAAAAATTAGCTGCGTGTAGTGTTGGGTGCTTGTAGTCCCAGCCACTTGGGAGGCTGAGGTGGGATGATTGCTTGAGCCTGGGTGGTTGAGGCTGCAGTGAGCCAAGATTGTGGCACTGTACTCCAGCCTGGGTGACACAGTGAGAACCTATCTCAAAAAAACAAAAACACACAATAAAACCCCAAAAAACAGGACCAATAAACTGACAACAATATTCTCAAGGAGGTTATAGCAAAATAACATTTTTATTGTTATTTTAAAAGTAAAACATGTACATTGTGGAATATTTAGGAAAATAGAAACTTAAAGCCAGCAGATGAAATTCCTATTTATAATTCCCTGTTTTAAATAGTATCAAATAAACTACTGCCACATTACATTAGGATCCCTAATATTGATAGTACTTAGTACCTTTTCTTTATAACATTAGTTGGACTCATTACCTTATGTCAGTTATTACTGAGTAACAAAAGCTGTTACTTAAAATTACCTATATCAGTTATCTATTACTAAGTAACAGATTTAAACTGTGACTTAAAGTTGGGGCAGGGAATGCCTTGTTCCAGTCCACAAGACACTGAGGTGGCTCAAATGGGGCTACAGTATCTCGGATAGCATCACTCATGTGTCTTGCATCTTAGTGTTGGCTCTCTGTTGAGACCCCTCCTTTCTTATGCAGCTGACCTGTTTGTTCATCAATTACGGTGTTTTTTTTTTTTTTTTTTTTTTTTTTTTTTTTTTTTTTTTTTTGTTTTGTGTTTTTTTTTTTTTTTT